TTCATTACACTTACATAACATTTGGTGTTATCAAAGAGGCTTCCATGTTCTTGCACTTCTTGTAGTGGGCACAAAAAGACAGTCTAGATTAAGATACCAAAGAGGTGAAAACAAGGAAGGATTCAATTGGTTTTCTCATTTTTGTAACAAGTATAACCCGAGGTCATTAAAATAACTTGCACAACTGAAATAACCCGAAAGCCACATATGTCCGCAATAAGAACATTTTTTAGCTGTGGTTATTGATATTGTTGCTGTTGTTGCTGTTGTTGTTTTGGCTTCGGAAGCAAATTGTCATTCTCAAAATAGCCTTGTACTCTCCTCTGAACTGCCTATTCGTGGCACCATATATGAGGGGATTGATGGTACTACTCAAATAACCCAAGAACGCGTATGTAAGGTACGCCTGTCGCGGCAAAGTGTGTTCCCCGCGCGCGGCGTCAATGTGATCGATGACAGAGATAGGAAGCCAACAACATGTGAAGCCGACCATTACTGCCGCTAAAGTCTTGGTCACTTTTGCTTCTTCCACGTTCGCTCTCAGTTCCTGAAGGTTATTTTCCGCCGAGAAAACTTGATTTGATCTAGATACTGTGCGGAATACTTTCGCGCAGCAAATTGTGATTATAGTTAAGGGTGCTGCGACGTAAACGCTCTCAATAAAGACAGTATATGCAATATTGCTTTCAAATGTGTACAAACACATCGCTTTGCCCGGCTGGAATTCAAATCTCCCGTTCTTGATGAAAATTGGAGGTAATGATCCAACGAGAGCCGCGCACCAAACAACAGCAATGTACAGCAGACTTCTCTGTTTTTTGAACAACACCGCGTACTTTTCTGGTTTGACAACGCAGAAATATCGACTAACTGCAATTAATCCCATAGTCAGAAGAGAAGCCAGTGCAAATGTCAATACTGCAAAACCGTGAAAGCGACAAAAACTTTCCCCAAACATCCAGCGGCCGCGAAACAGAGTTGCAACTGAAAAAGGCATACAGAGGGTAGACATGAGAATATCGGTTACACCAAGTGCTATCACAAACATGTTGGCAAGCGTACGAAGTCTCTGGTTTCTGTACACGGCGTAACAAGTTAGAAGATTGCCAAAGAAGGCCACAATATCAATAACAGCAAACAAAACTGTTTCGGTCCACTCTAGAGTCTTTGTTCTCGTGGCAAGCTGCACAGAAAGCGATTGCTTCATGACTTTTAACGTTCACGGTCAGCGAAGATATTCGCGTAATTGGTTTTTGAGGCAAAAAAACGTTAGAAGCTATTTAGTTGTTGTAACACTGGAGGTCGTTGTCACTCAACTGAAAGAGCAGCTGTTACCTGCTGTCGTTTGTAAGTGATCGCATACATGATAAGAACCATGATAGGGTCACTTCACTTGACGGCAGCACCTGCCTTGTCTTATTTTTAAGCTTCTATTCGTCACTGGCCATAATTTATTTTAAAATGTCTTTAGCTGAGATGTTAAATTTGACATGTCATTTAGCTCCTGGCCATTAATTATTAATAGGGAATTAAAGTCATTAAGGGGTTTAAGTAAACCACGACGGCAACAGCAAAGGCAACTGCAACGTTGCTAAACAAGAGGTTTAATGAGCATAACAATGGCTGTGCATGCGCACGTGCGTTATAATTCTTGGTACATTTTTTTTGCCGTCCTCTGCAAAATAACAACGTGAAATGACCAAATTCTGCGTTGTCTGGAGAACGTGAACCACGACGGCTAATTTCTTAAATTTTTTATTTTGAATTAATCAATGTGTCCTAGATTCAGTATCGTGATGGCTTTGGCAGTGATAAACAAATTAAATGACTCTAGAGTACAATGAGATTCGTAGGTAAAATATAAACTCATTCTTTAATCGACGTTGTCCTCGACGTCGCTGTCGTGGTTTCTTAACCTCCTTCGACGGCGACGCTGTGGAAAACATCGATTAAAAAAGGAATTGCCCACGGCTGAATGTCACGGCATCTCTTAAGTCTTTAGTTTGTTTCTCTTTATCGAAACTACCACGAGACTTAATAATATAGAACACGGCGTTAAATTAGAAAAGAAATTTTAAAAATTAGCAGTTGAGGTTGATGTTCTCCAGAGAGCACAGAAGTCGGTTATTTCACGACGTTAGAGAACTTAAGAGCCACTGTCTATAAATATAGACCGATTTTGCTCCTTTTTTTGCTCATTGATTGGCGCCCTAGCTAGAAAACTAACGGACTGTAGTTAGTTTCTGTTAATACAGTTCTTTGTAGAATTTTGCGAAAAACGATTTCGCCCGCGATCATGTGGGCTCAAAATCTACTTCCAGTACCTATGCTGAACTTTCTGAATATTTGATCGCATCGCAGAACACACAACAACTGTATCTTTGAATGATTTATATGTTCAGCTCAGGTCTTCATGATACCACCGAATGAAAAACAAATATAACAAATCGAAGTTTTTTTTTAATTTTGCAATAACACAAGGGAAACAATACTTACAATACTAATTACGAACAATACACTGTTTAGACTACTTACAGCAACATACTATTCTTACATTATATTGCTCTAATTATTTACACTATTTACATTACAATATCTACAGGACTTACAGTACACTACTAACAAATACAGTAACGACCCGGGGCAAAAAAAGGAGAAAAATAGATAATTATCATTACAGCTTGAAGTTGTACTATAAAAACAAAAACTGACCAAAGGCATGTGGTACATTATAGCTAAAGTGAGCTATGCGCATGACAGGAGATTAGAAATAGACAAATGGGTAAGAGATAAATACAGGTGGATATAGAAAATATAATCTAAAATATTAATTAAATCCTCAAATATCCTGCAAGAGGTTTCCATTTCTTTGTTTCTCCACTTTTTATTTCTATCTCATATTGTGATTTTAGTGTGCATATGAAATGCTTAAGATTTGGATGATCTTCTTTTGTTTTAGGGAGCCATATGTGCCGATATCGTGCTAAGGGAAAGCCGCAATTGATAAGAAGCACAAATTGAGAGATATCTGGCCTCAGACCCAAAGCAGTAATATTRGTCAAAGTATAATCTCTAGGAAGTAAATTTAAGTTTTTCAGCCATTCAGTAACTTTATTCCAAAAGTCAGATGTTTAGTGGCATGACCACAAAATGCTGTTGTTGTTGTCACTTTTCCAACAGACTTATATTGGGTCTATCAATCTTAAACATTTATTTCCAATACAATTTATGTTTTCGTAAAAAAGTCATAGGTATAAAACTTCTTAAATATGGTTATGTAGTCAGTCCTTTTTTAAAAACAAAATTGGAGTAATGTTTAAACTCTGTTATTATTTATAATATTATTTGTATATGTTGTATTTGTTAGAAGGCAGTGAATGATTACATTAAAAACAAAGCTATAGGCATATAACTAGTTAAATATTGTAGTGAAGTCAGTCTTTGTTACAAAATCGAAATAATGCTTAATCTTTGTTATTGATTCTACCATTAATTGTATTTGTATTTGTTATGGAAAGCAATCAATGATTACATTAAAAAAATCTCTTTCTTTCTTGCACTAGGCAAAGTACGAGATCACTTTACCTTTTAAGCATAAGTACCAAATTTTAGGTAGAGAGATCACACGAATAAGGGATCTGATCGCCTCACAAAAAAATTGTTGTTAAAAAAGGTTTTCCCAATAATACACTTCTGCAGCTTTTCACTGTACATCACAGTTAGATCTTGTCACTGTGAAAACAAAAGAAGTAAGGGTGTTTCAATTTTGATTCTTCGGAAGCTTCGGAAGCTTTCAGCCATGATAGCAAAAAATTCATCCAAATTTCTAGCAACCTTTGTTAACCTGATGTGGAGAATCTTTTTATCCACTTCAATTTTTGCGGAACTGAAACACTTTTTGATCGGAATAAGAAATGAATAGACAAGTACGTTTACTTTCTTTCTTCGTGACATTTTCAACACCAGTCGATGATTTCGAGTCAACTGATATGCGTTGTTCAGCAGAGTACTGAGTTGCTATCAAGTCTGCTAGGGCTCTAGCACGTCCAAGCTCTACAACATTAAGAGCATTCTTAGGATTTCCAGCATCACAAAACAATCCATTGAGGCTTCTGGTAGGGAAAAACGTACTCGTCTGCAAATGATATCTTCATTTGATCGCTGCCTTGAAGATAACCTCACATTTTTTCGGACTTTTCAATACTTCGAAACAAAAGGGAAAAAGCTCCTTCAAAGTTCTTCTGTGATAACTTCGTCAATGTAAGATTACAATAGCACAAAAACTCACTTTCAGCGTTCCCAATATCTTTACTTGTTGAAAGTGCCTTCTCAAGATATTCTTCGGCCACGTCATGATCGCCAAGAGATTGACACAGTCGCCCAAGATCCCGGTAACTTAAGGCCTCTACTCTTCTATGACCAATTTCAACTGCAATCACCAGTGCTTTCTCAAAGCAGGCTTTGGCTTTCACTTTATCACCGAGGGATTGAAAAAAATTACCTTCCGTTCGGTAACAATCTGATCGCAAGTGCTTTGTCGCAATATGATTTTCTCTTTCTATATTCTCCAAGCTCAACAAAGACAGCTGCCAGGTTTAGGCATGTTCTTAATTGTCCTTCTCTTTCACCAATTTCCATTTCGATCGCGAGTCCTTTCTCATGATATTCTTCAGCCTTGCGATATTCACCAAGACAATGAAACAGAGTTCCTAGATTTCCATGAGATCTTTGTTCTCCTACTCTGTCACCAATTTCCACGCTGATCGCGAGTGCTTTCTCGTAATACTCTTTAGCCTTGACGTATTCACCGAGAGCATAAAAAAGAGGTCCTAAATTTCCATAACAAGTTGCTCTTACAGCTTTGTCACCAATTTCCATGTTGATGGAAAGCGCTCTCTCGTAATATTCTTTAGCTTTGAAATATTCACCGAGAGATTGAAACACCTTTCCTAAGCTTCCATAACATACTGCTTCTCCTACTTTGTCACCAATTTGCATGCTGATTGCAAGTGCTTTCTCGTAATATTCTTTAGCCTCGACATATTCTCCGAGAGAACGAAGCACACTTCCTAGATTTGCACAACATGGTGCTTCTCCTGCTCTATTACCCATTTCCATGCTGATCGCAAGTGCTTTCTCGTAATGTTCTCTAGCCTTGACATATTCACCGATGGAATGTAACTCATTTCCTAGCTCTCTATAAGCACATTCTTCTCTTCTTTTATCAGTCGGTTGTATGACAGGGATTGGTCTCTCAAGAAGTTGTTTTGCATCAGCATACATCTTTTGGCGCCGATACATCTGTGCCAGTAGTATGCTAAGCCGGCCTTCTTCGACTGTATCACAACACCCGCGATAAATAGCGAGAAGTCTCCTGCCGTATGCCATTGCATTTGTATGATCGCTAACACTGCGTACGCGTCAAACATGGTGTAATAGATCTTTTTGTGAATTAGTTGGCATAATTGCTTTCCTTTTCTCTGTGCTTTGTTACTGAGAAAAACCAAGCTTTCCTTGCATAACTCGATGGCTTTTAAAGCATAACCAATATTGAGAAGAAAGGTAGCAACAACTAAGCCTATACTGATGGCTTGTATAATTTCTTCTTCGTAATTCATGACGCTTTCCTCCTTATGCCTAAGCTTGTAACTAAAAAAATAAATCGACAAAGGCTAAGGGTAGAATATTGCCGTATTACGTAATGAAAGTTGTGTCATTACGAACAAAAGTGTAGGGACTTGAAAAAGCCAAGGTTGAGCGAATTAGCATTCTAAATCTGTGCGTAAATTCATTTCGGATCCATGTAAAAGTTCGTCTTCTCTATTTTATACTTGACATTTCCTTTTCGCTTTTAAATTAAGTCAGCTCAAGAATACGATTTTTACTCCTTTTTTAAATAATAATTTTTAGATTGCGATATTGTGATAATCTTTGATTATTGTTTATAGTAGATTTTTAACTTTTAGTACACTTAAGAGGGCAACAAATTTATTAGTTGATAAACTATTACGTGTCACCCTCGATAAATAAAGTTCTGATTTGATTTGATTTGATTTGATTTGAAACCACAAAAAGTTGGAATGTTCGAATCAACTTTGGCTATAGTAAACTTTTCATGAGTACATTCAACCTTGTCAAAAGCTGGAGTGATTATTCAGGTTCATAAGTGAATAAAGAAGTCAAGAAGAGAGAAATTTCAAAAGTGGCGTTTCATTTTGCCGTTTTCTTTCCCTGCAACACTGAAATTAATCCAACACAAAATAGACAAAAAATTATCCTTGTCGCCGCATGTACTCATGTTCTCCGTTCAGCCATAAACGGCTAAACATTTAGTGCAAAAGTCTCCCATTTGCCGCAGGCATTTACCGTGAACGTATTACTTAAATACCCCTCTAATAACATGAGGTTTTTTCTGAACTTCACGGTAGCATTTCGCTTGTTTCAGACTTATTAAGGTAACTTGCAAGCGCTGCTCTGAAATATTTAAATCTTTGCCAAACAATATTTCCCCTTTCTAGTTAAACGCGTAAATATTTAATCAAAATTAGGGCACACAATTCCAGACAAGTCGTACTCACCAAGTCAATGTCGGAATAACAGTCTGAAGACGAGCTTGTATTCCTTACATGAAGTGAACTTTACTGTCAGGTTTGTTATACGATGTTTGCTTTGGAAAGTAAAACTGGATATCTGCCAATACGTCATAAAATCAGACGTTGCAAGAGGAAATTAGAAAATGAAAGTTTCAATTTCGTCATTTCAGATTTTACATTTTCCAAAAAACGAAAATTTTGAAATGCTTTGTTTTACCTATCTAAAAGCAATGACGAAGACTACCCCGAGGACAATGCCTAGTAAAAAAATGAATTTATATTTTACTTTAAAATTTCGCAGTTGCTTACGTCTGTTCAGTGCATCTATTGCTTAAGTTAAGGTGTAACACCAGCGTTTAATTTCAAATAAAAATGTAAAATTTGCTACGTCATCGGATTCGAAATTATCCGGATTCACCGTCCACACGTTATCGGATTCGTTGCAGATTTATTTTTTTCCACTCTGGAGAGCGAATTCGCCGCCGAATTCGCCGGATGCGTGTGGACGGAAGCCGCATCCGGAAAGAAAAAGTTGCGGATTCAAAAATATCCGGATACCTGTGGCGGGGCCTTAGTCATTTCAAGTTGTTGTTTTGCAGAGGATGGCAAAGAAATGTACAAATAAACTCTTGGTCTTCGGCCATCGTAGGTTGATTAAACATATAAAACAAACAACGGTGACTCAGTGGGACTACCAAAATGTCAAAATGGGACCATTTTGACATTTTGGCCTCCGGCAAGACTGACTACCATTGTAAGGTTAAAGAGACCTTATTTATTCAGGGGCTGCAGCCAGGATTGAATGCCAATCCAGGAGCCATAATCGGGGACGGAGACCGTAAGCGCGCGCCATTTCTAGTATTGGGGTTGTCCCCATGATATGGGACAATAATTCTATTTTTAGAAC